TGTACTTCTCAATCTGAAGAAGCAGCGGCTATACACCAAGCCTCTCGCGAATGTCTGTATTTCGGACCATGTCGAGACATTGAGACAAGCAACTCGTATTAGAAAGCCTATTTCAGCCGCTTGGACCCGGGATCGAAGCTCTTCAGTCCTGATCCAAAACTAATGACCATACGTAAGCATGGGAATAAAGGTTGACTTGAACACCGAGAGCTTAGTCTTCAGACTCAGCTCTACTCTAGTCACAACGCTGCATCTATATAACAACTGAAAATGAGCAGTTATATATACTTAAAGCAATCTATTCCTAAAATTATAAATGTAAAAAAAATATATTTGCGTAATCAGACATACAATATTTTGTAGAATTACCTAACTGTTTTCCATTAGGGCTGATGCTAAGCGACGTTACGCCTCCATGGTGGGCAGTAAAATAATTCTCCAACACTGGGTCTTCCTAAAAAATAAAATGAAATAAGCAAATAAATTCTTAAAAAACCAAAACAATATGCTTCAGGCTAGAAACAGCAGGCATAGCGGATCTCTCGACTCCTGCCCTGTTTCGCCAATCACATTAAATCCAAAGTTCGAATTTCTTTTGCTTTGGCGCGCGATTACTCATATCAAGAATGAAAAACAATCGTATGAATGGCACACCAGAAAGGACAAAAATACGTAATACACTACAGATTCTACAGAAACAAGGCCCAACCAAATAATTATATAATTCTACCTATTAAATGTAAAGAATCTTTTGAAACACGTTCGAACAGCTATATCATGAAAGCAACACTGAAAAGGTGCTGAAACTTATAACAGTTATTTATTCTTTCAAAAAAGGACGTAATGTTACACACTAGTATCAGCAATCAGAAAATTTGTAACAGGAAAATTGAAAAGGTACAGTTAGAAGCTCAAATTTCCTAAAGTTACCGCAGCTAATAGGTGACGGAAAATAACTGCTGAACTAGAATTACAGCTGTTTCAAAATATAAACTTTTTTGTTATAAGAAAGTAAGACGATTGAAAGCCCTATGCTTCCAAACCATCTGTTGAATGCAGTCTTTTTTGGCTAAGAGCCAAGTGAAACACTATTGTTCTCCAAGAATTTCGTTGTTGATTCTCAGGCAGCAGGCCCACCAGTTTTCAATCATAGCATTCGGCAGCAGTCTCGAATAAGCCAATCTACTCGATTTTCAGGTCAGATGACATCACTAGGGTGATGTTTGCATGTTGTTCCCTCGTATCCGCGGAAGATAATGTTTCCCATTTGATTCTCTGGTTGCATCTGCGACCCTTTTTTCGAGTGATGCTCCATTTCTCATAGCCTAGCGTGTCAACCACAGGGTGATGATCAACTGACAGTTCTGCGTTTATTTTAACGCGAACATCCGTAACTGAGCGTCTTAAGTCAGATGATACGGTTATCAAATCGATCATCGACTTTTGTGCACAAGTTTCCCGGTACCAGTTGTACTGATGCACTTTCGATGCTCGAAGAAGGTGTTCATAATTGACAGTCCGTTGTTTGCACAAAACCACAACAACTTCATGCTTTTATTGTTGAGGTCCCTACGGCCGTTCTTTCCAATCACACCTTTCCACTTTTTAGCGTCTACTCCGACATTCACGTTAAAGTCGCCCATTAGAACGAGGGACTTCGTAGTCGGCACTTCGAACATAGCACACTTCTCGTTCTCACGGAAGGAATCATATCTCCCTCAAAAATGGATACATAGACCTGTAGCAACGATAACCTTTTAGCCTATTGCAGCATTAGTCGAAGGACTGTCACTTTTACGAGCAAATGCATCCATTGAATGATTCTGCTAGCCAGGTCGGGTTCTACGAGTACACCAACACCGACCTGACCGCGTGTCGTACAGTTAACACATAGTAAACTAGCTTCACTCTGCAGAGATTCAGAATGCCGGTGCCCTAACGCATCGTCGATGAGAGAACAACTGCGTAAAGGCGATACATTTACCCTTATTAATTAGCTCTTGCTCTTTCTCTTTGAGTGGAGATGTTCCAAATTCCGACTGTGAACTCTACTGTCGGCATGGCTCCCATGGCATCTTACCTGACGCTCTCTAATGGCGTTCCGATGTCTACCCCTTCCGTTCAAAACAGATACCGGTCCGCTGCTAACTGGTATTTTCGTCTTCTTCGTGTCGATCTTCGGCAGCTGTCAGAAAGCAAGAAGCAAGTTGTGATCAACGACTTTTTGTAGAATGCCTCAGTTCCTGAACAGTTGTCACATCTCTTTGTAATCGGTGCGATATCGAGCCGGTATTTCATTCAATAACGGCAATATCATGAGCGCCAAATTTCTTTGGAGATTCAACCACGGTACTGAACCATTCTCCCTCCACATCTGGGTCTGATACCGGCAACGGCAGCGTTCCTTTTCAAGAACACTGGTCGGCATGACAGAACAATAACAAAATTATCTTAACGCAGTTACTATAATCTGATGCTTCTAGTCCTGTCGCACCTTGTGGGTTTTAAAATTCCCAATTTATGTTTCAATGCTGAATTTCCGCAAAGGACATAGTCAACATCCATAAAAACTACGTCTAAGACAAATTTTTAGTGCATTCAGGCTCCACTGCTTCCTGCTTCGTAATTCATGCCTACTATTCATTGTTAATAGATGATTCTACTTCACTATGTAACGCCTGACCTTCAAATGCATGTTATTTGATTCTGATTATTTCGAAACACTGTTTATGGCCATAAGACGAAGAAATCAATGCTCTGTCCGTTACAATTATTGTAAATTCCATATCAGTGCATATTTATGGTACATAGCATAGTATACTTATAGAAATTACACGGCTCCAAACACCACAATATTCGAAATTACACGGCCGCGATTCAGAAGCTTCTATACTTCCGAACTCGTAAAGTTGAGTTTCGGTTAATTTTAGAGTTTTGCGGTCATAAGGAGTCCAGACTGTTTTCAGTTATTTCCTTCCTTTTTATTTTTATGTATGGTATTCTTCGTACTTTTCTGAAAGGCGACAACCCTAAGTGTCGAAGCTTAAGCAATAAATTGCTGCTATTGCTGAAAATTGGATCAGCAGACTTTTCAAACATTTGAACGAATGAATACGAAAACGAACTGAGAAATGAATGTATATATAAAATTTTGTTTACTAAATGGGATGTCCAAAGAATTTCACTTTCAATAGAAAACAAACACGCAACCCTTTAATGCATGCTATCGAAGAATCACAAACAGACAAATGTAAAGATTCAGCGACTTTACACATGCAAAGCAGCAGATCTGCCGCAGCTTATGGGTCGAACAGTCACAAAGGCATGAACTGTCGCTACCGATTAACTTTTACTTTGGAAAGTGTGAAAAGTTCCGAAATATTTTTATGCTCAGTAAAGTTTATGATGCAAATACCACGAATTCTTTACTGCAATTTATGCAATTCAAATTTTCATCAAGTGGTGCCTACCGCAGAAGTAACATGAACTGTTGTGCCTTTCTGGAAAGCGAAACGAATAATTAGCAAAATGTTTAATTTCCAAAAGAAGTCACAAATGCATTAGTTTATAAGGTCAGATCAAACATGCTGCTTTTCCGAAATCTCACGCAAGTGAAACATCTCGTAATCGACAACCCAATAAAAAAATTTAAAGATTGACCAGAAGTAAATGAAACTTTCGAAGTAATTGCAAAATCTTTTAAATGCAAATTAAATCTGATTCTCTCTACCACTGCTGACAACGACGCAAACGGCGTAAAGTCCAGAATCGGCTGACTACATAGCAACC